AACTATTGCGGGAAGGGCTGCGATTTGCTTGTTGCTCGCTTTAACTTCTTGTGCAAAATGATTTTCAATAGCATTAATATTCGATTTGTACTACGTTCCCGATACGAATTATGTCACAACTTAGAAACGTTAGTAACCTATTAAATGCAGAATTTTGTGCGTCATTATTATTATATTATGTTTATTCTGGTCTAATTACTATTACCAGCTACTTACAGGACTATATTCTTAGTATTTGTCGGTATGTTGGACGTTCATGTTGCATTTGATGATAAACATTGACAGTGCTGTAATGTTTCCTGCACAACTGTATCTAGTGATAGGTGTACGAGCCTCACTCCGCCTTTTGCCAGGCTGATCTGTCGCTGCCATGCACATCCAAGATACAGTATATAAAGGCAGAATACGTTAACTGCTTATGTCTCGTACATAAACGTATGTTACGTATTTCCCAATAGTAACCAGAACCTGATTCGATTGGCCAAATGAGATACTTAGGAATTTGTCTTTGATCGCTTTCTGATCATTAGTTAGTTGGACGATTGATGCCATTTCGATCAGTTCTGTATCCAGCCACGATTTCAAATGTATACATTGAATGCTGTTGCTTGTAGAAATAACATTACAGACTTTATTTAATTCATACAAGAGCACGTCGGGATTATTTTCACTCTGAATTTTTAGTTCATTGGCTATTTTGTTCTCCAAAATTGTTCTGGATGAACTGCTGCTCCGAGATAATGTTACGCTTCTATAATCATCTGTATTTGTTATTATCGTTTCTGCTGACTCTGTATCTTTTGCTTTTCTCTTGTCTTTTAGTCTTTCGGAACAATGATTGCAAGTTGCATAGCATATTCATAAATGGATTGTCCTGCAGAATTCAATCACCTTCTTTGTTGCATGGCAATCCGTTACACTTTTTTATGGAATTCTTGAACAAATTACTTGACAATGTAGGCAAAAAAGTTACAGTAGTTACGTATTCATATATATGTTTAGGAAAATACCTTGAGATACACTAATGCTGCTCATATTGTTTTTTTTTTATGTGGGTATATGAAGAAAGAACTAGCGCTTAATTGAATTTGTTTATTACAATCGAGTATCAATAAACGATTTATAGCTTTTAGATATTCGTTATGTTGTCGAACGAAATATGAACGTGTTAATGCTTATAACATAAACGACTAGATATGGTGGTTTCTTTTATACTTTTTTTTCATTTTTATTAAACCTGCATTTGGAAATTGTCTTGAATGTCTTCTACTAGCATCATTTGAACCGAAGTTTATAGTATGACTCTTGGCATCTTATACTAAATATGTGTATCAATTATCCTGGTTATGCTAATCTTTTGCATTCACCTTCAAATTTTTAAATAAAAAACAAAATCGCAAGTTGTCCCAATTAAATGAAAACATGGTAATAGTTTGTTGATGGAGATTTTTCTGTTCAAGCGAAAAGGTTTTACTTGTTGCGTACGATCTTTATATCGCAATTTCTGCGCATTAATTATCATTGGTCACATTCTGAACCATAGTTACATTGTGAAAAGGTCTAGAAAGTTCCTAAGAATACGTCATTGATTTGGTGTCGATATATTAGATCTCACCGCGCGCAGCACATCCAGAATGAAGGCATCTTCCGTGACAAATGTCGCACCCAGAAATGCGCTTGCGAGGAGTTCGTGCCTAAACAAGAGGATGACTTGAGCTGTGACGTGTGCGGCCATCACCCCGCTACGCATGCGCGAGGGCAGCCAGGTAACGACTTTGTGACTCGGGCGTTGGAGACATGTACATAGATAGAGTTTATGACATGTAGCAAAATCGTTGCTTCGATCAATCCATTACCAGACACGAAGGAATACTGCTTCCAACTAATATGTAACCTCTTGTATTCATGTGTGACTCACTGGGATTATGTTGAAAGCCATTTCGGATACGTCGTTCCTTTCAGCCGCTGAAGCTCGACTTCAAGTCTTGCAACCCGAGCTACGGACCCTGCCTTCACTGGAGCAACTTGGCCAGTTTGTACAAGAAGTGCTGACAACCAAAGTACTATTTCCGCAGTTTTTGTACAATGAAATTTCTAGGGCACCAATGTTGTCACGGACGGCCACTTCAAACCTTTTGGATAGTTACTTTGTTCCAACTGATGCCATAATCTGCAACTATGTGTATCATGCCACCATCTCATCATGGCTTGCTCCTGATTTTGAGCAGTGATTTTTACACTTGGATGATCAGAAGATTATTATCATGTAGGCCTTGCCTTGATACTTGCATTAGAAGTGTCATTGAAGCACACACAGATGGCATAATAATAACAATGGATTGAAACACAGATGCTTGGTATTTAAGTTTAGTGGCACATATAGGTTTGGAGAATAAGAAAGAGGCTGAACAAGATATCAAGTATATTAGGTGCCCAGGTATGCAAGAAAAAGCATTAACTTTATTAGAAACATATAAACAAACTTGAGCACTTTGATGTAGAATGGTTTAAAGTTCTTGTGGATAGTAGCCCTATTGATGCAATGTCTCTTTTATATTTTAGATAATATCAGTCAATGGCAATCACTGTGTAACCATCAGAATGGAACAGATGCTTACACCAGATGGTACAACACTAGTTTCAACACAAGTACAGGACAAAAGCAACCCGATGCTGTTGGATGTATTAGTATGTGGGGGTGCTGAAAGTTTTGTTGCTTGGGGCCATATTTCAACAATCAGTTGACCAATCCAAAAATAGAGGTGATCTATTACTATCATTTTGCAATGTTTCAAGGAATAAAAGAAGAAAAAATTAAAAAATTCATTTGACAATTCTCAAAAAATAGATTTTTGAAAACCCTATACAAAAACAACTGGACAAAAATGAGCTGCAAACAGCAATGATACTACATTTATGTTTTATGGAAGAATGGTCAGGAGCCAACTCAGATTTACAATGAGTTAGTCAATGCAGAAGGGGAAGAAGTACTACCACTTTGCACAGTTGAATGCTGGGTTTGTGCATTCAAAGACAGAGATGAGGGTGTTTCTGACAAGGCTCATTCTGGACATCCTTGCAAAGCAGTAACATCAGAAAAAGTTCCCCATTTTTTAATTTTTGTGCATTTATATTTAACACATGGGGAGTGAAAATCTTTATGGTAAGATTGATAATAAAGATTTTCTTAGAATCAAACATGCAACATCCAGTAGTTGATTCCAACTTTAAAACATATCACCTTAAGCACAAGAAATGCAGTTTTTTCACAGACACAGATGCTCAACAATGGTCATTTCAACATTTCTATTGATCACAATTCAAAGAATGTTGTAGATGATGTTTTAGCATCAACCAAACACCACAAACAGAATTGACAGGTTTAATTTATGTCGTATTTGCCAAAGTCAACAACCTTGTTAACATGACCCTCACATTATTACCACAGAATTAGCTAGTCAAGTAGATATTTCCTGTGAAAGAATTACCCATATTTGTGCAATGAATTAGGCTTTTATAAGGTCTGTTTGAAATGGGTTCCTCATAAGCTTTCAGAGGACAATAAGAGGCTACAAGTAGAAGTTTCTAAACAACTATTACGATTGGAAACTTTAAAAGAAGGATACAACAATATTATAACTGGAGATGAACATGGATATTTTTTTACAGTTTCAAGTAAGGAAGCAAATAAGGTTTGGATAGAAAAGGGGGAGTAGGAGAACAGACCACAAATTGTGAGAACAGTGCAAAATTTGAAAAAAAGAATGTTTTATATATTTTATACCATAGATGAAGTTATAACACAAATTGTAGTAAAAAAAGGGCATACAGTTACTGGTAAGCTTTATGCAAATAGTATACTGCCAGAAGTTTTTTGGAAAAAAGGGAAAGAATGAGTCATGCTTCATCATGCTAATGCTGTACCACATAAGTCAGCAGTTGTAACAAAATATCTTTGAAAAGAATGGATAAAACTTCTCCCCCATCCACCATATAGTCCAGACTTTGCTCCTTGTAATTTTTTCTTATTCCTTCAAATCAAGAAAGAACTGAAGGAAAAAAGTTTTAATAAAGTCAAACATTTGGTAAGGGCCATTCAGGCAGTTGTTGAAACCATTCCAAAAGCTGACTATGAGAAGTCTTTCCAGAGTTGGCAGAATCATCTGCAACATTGCATAGATGTTAATGGAGAGTACTTTGAGGAGATGGAATAGTTTTATTGATAATTATTATGCAAGTTCTGGAAATAAAGAATCAATGACAAAACTTTTCAGCACCCCCCACATACTGTATATCAAATAATACTGTATGGCAAGGTGAGAAAAAAGGTGCTGACAGTGATGGAGATCCATCTCAAGAGAACTTTCTAGGGCCTCTCTAAAATCTTTTTTTTATTCCTTTCTCAATCTGCACAATTACAAGTGGGTCTCAATATAACAACATGCTCAGTTCCAACCTAAGTGGTCATTATATCAAAATGTCCTTATATCAAGAACTAATTTTATAACAACAACAAAGCAAGTTCAACCAATTGTCGTTCGTTATACAAAAAAATCAATTTTATTGGATAAATTTGATACGATTGACAACTGTTAAAACTTAAGCACCATTTACATTACAAGGATTAAAAAATCTCGTGTTTTTTTTTTTTCAGTTTATTTCTTACACTGCTAAGTTTTTTCTAAATCAGTTAAGCATTATAATAAAACACTATGATAGATTTTCTGCTTACCTTAATGTCATTAAGAATTAATTCTTATGCTCAAGTAAACGAACGAGATAAGTATTACTTAAAATGGAGCTTAATAGGCAAAAAAGGATATGTGTGCCACTCAAATTTGCGTATAACGACTGTCGTTATATTAAATGTCGGTATATCCCGATACAAGATTTGTCTAATAAGCATTTCCCAAAATTGTCGTTATACCGTTATAACGAAAATTTATATACAATGTTGTTACATCGAATAAATTTCATTATATAGATTTTTTGTTCCAGGATTTTTGTCAGTAGAACGAGATGTCATTATATAGCAGTGTCGTTATATCGAGACTCACTTGTATCTAGTTCTTGTTGGACCATATTTTGTACACAATCTCGACAATAGAACTTGTTAACTCTTTCTTCAGTATCAGATACTGGAACTGAAAAATTATTATCACAGTGAGAGTAGAACATTATTATTGTGTTCAGAAACTCTCATTAACTTTTTTTCCAGAAATTTCGATCTTTTGTTTTGTAATAGTACATCATTATCCTGCTTTCTTTTCTTAATATTTATTATTTTTCGTTCTTCTTGATAAATTCATAAGTAATTTTTCTTTATCTAGATATTGCTGGAGAGTTTGGGTATCATTGATTTTAAAAACATAAGGAGCAATTTTTTCACCTTGTTCTTTTTTTAGAATGCTTCTAATTGTACTGTAATTCTTTGGTTCCATGGTGAATTTAGTTATATTTAGCATGTTATAACTTCAAGTAAAAAGTTTATGATTAGATTTAAAAATGCAATAAAAAATTAGTCCATAGGTTGTGCATGAGCCAAAGCTGTGCCACTAAACCAAAGCCTTCCCAAAATGTTAGCTAACTTTCAGCCACCTCAGCCTCTCATTTATGTCACATAATAGAATGCTCACTTTGTCTGGTTTGGTTGCAGTCTGCCCCATTTAACATAATGCTGGAAACATATAACCAACATATGCTCATTTTTTATGCAATGTTAGATGTGGGATTAATACAATAAAACTAAAATTAAATATTATCCACTCTGCATTGTAATTCACGAGTGTTACGGCAAGCCGATCTGATGAATTAGATAAGTGAGTCACATGGTAAAATCTTCCTCCGCAGTCAAGCAAAATCCCATGATCGACGACGTTAATTTTAGAATGGTAGTACGACGTTGCGCATTTAGGCACCAGGCGCAGAAAATGTTTCGATTTTTGCGTGTCAGCACAAACGCAATTAGCTAAATTAGAATATGATTGGTTCTTCATAGAAATTACAATTGTTAACTCCGTTTCGATTTTTGAGTGTCGTTAAAGGTATATAAGCGACCCTTATCCCCTTGTCGAATTCTCATGTTATTAATGTTATTAATGTTGTTCAGGTTATTAATGTTGTATATTTGTAAATATTATTCATGTTATAAAATATTTTTCAATCGAAACTTTACTTTCTTTCATAGTTAAAATATTAATTATTCCGGACACACTAATAAACGGCTCACTCAAAAGCTATAAGCTTATTTTAAGCTGTATAAGTTGTCCGTTGATCTATTACTCTTAATTGAGGAACGAGAGCCAATAATTATTTATTGAAACGAAAATTGTTTAAGTGGTTTGAGACAAGTGACGGAACCTGACTAGTCGAAATACCAAATCGAAGATAGCCCTGTTTAATATTAAATAGAATTTATTCCCCTTCGATTCCGCAGTAGAATAATTGTTGTTGTTATTTTATTGTGGGTACCCGGAGTTGAAAAGCGCCCATTTAATTTAATTATATAAATAGGTCACTTGTAGATTAGAATCCAGACACCTACCGGTAGCACGAAGCTAATCTGGTAACATCCCCCGGTCGGAAGAACACCCCTACGCGAAAGACTAATCGCTTTCCCAAACCCCAGACCATCCGACCGTAACACAAACATGTGTAATAAGAATATTATCACACAACTTTAGAAAAATTAGATACCATGTTTAAGCAAATAGTTAAATGGACAGTGTTACATTCATGCTTGAATAGATAACCATTGATCATAATTTAAATTGTTAAGACCACATCTGGGTAAATCAGAACCCATACATGATAAAACTTTATACGAGCAACTAGACAACAATTATCTTCTTACGTGGTAAATCCTTTCAAGGAATTGTGACTTGTAAGTCATCTTTTGCATCTTCTGAAATTAAGAAACTTATACTTGTGTGCTGGAAGTGAGTATTTTCTGGCAAACTCACTTATTATTATAAATTTTCGTGTACATTTTTTGTCATTTCCAAGTATCTTCATCATATTGGTCAACAAGAAGAGAACCATTTAAGACCATATTGCTCATCATATTGTTTGAATCAAGCTGTCAAATACTAAACACCCTGACATTTTCTGAAGTAGAAAACCAAAGCTGTGCTTTTGTGCCACATTACTTTTACGCCGAAATCTATGCTAACTGGGTTCTGTAATGACTTTAAAGAACAAAATGCCTCCCTTGATTATGATACATTCGTTGAGAAATGAGGAGTGTGAACGAATTGTACAGTCTTAGCTAAAACTCTACTTTATGGCTTTTAATCACACAACAAATTGCATTATTAACAGAACGCGATGAAACGGAATCCGATGATATATCCATGTTTGTTCTTTCTCTTCTTGGTATACAACCTACAAAGTTTTCTAGAATTGTGTTCAGCAAGACTTTTTTTTGGGAGGGATGTTTTGAATTAACCTTGGCTAACAGACGTTCAGTTTATATAAATTATGCACAACCATTGTCATCTTGAAAAGTACCATTCTTCAATAAAATGCGACCGAAATTCGTGAGAACAATGTCGTTGCGTGTAGATGCGAAGTTCAAGCGTAATTGTTTCCGTAGTGTTATATATTTATAATAATAAGATTGATATAATCCGACTATGTGAGAATCAACCTACATATTGAAAACAGAAGGTGATGAGAATGTTCGAAGATCGCGTTTGAATTTATAGTTTCTCTACCCCGTATTGAATGGGTTGTGCATCACTTTCTTGCAGTTAATATTAATAGTTAGAAAGTTAGATTTATTTTAATATTTTAGATTCCTGTTTTTTGAAAACATGATGATAATATGTAGGAGTGACGCAGATACAGTGTCTACTACATATGGGTTTTCAGAGTTAGGATTTTAATTAATAAGACAAAAGGCTTTTTTACTGTTACAAGTATTACGTACCACAGCCGTGAAACAAAGACGACCCCCTGTCTTTGTGGCTCAAACATACTGTAACTTGAGAATGTGACAGAGAGTCATTTGTATTGTCTGGATGGGAGAACTGCACTTTCCATTGTTCGGGAAACTTCTGTGAAAATCGCTTCTTAACACATATTCTCAAGATGATAAAAAAGGGCATATCAAACAGCGATCCTATTATTAATTAACTATATTGTCATGTGTTGATTGAAATTTAAGTTTGAGAAAAATTGAAACTTAACCCTTTCGGGATAAGGGTTTTTTAATTTTAAAGGTTAAGCAATCCGATCACTGCGGATTTATATAATGGCCGTGCAGTTCGGCAAAAGGAAACTTCTCATTTCAGAGAGAGGATAGCGTATGCTTGTAATATATAACATTATTGCTATTGCATTATAAAGACGTTTATAACAGAATAATATACACAAATAACAACAAACGAATATGGGCGCTCATTATAGTTGCTGCAGAGAGCAAGTCAAGCCTGGTATCGAGGAAGGCGAGTCGAACGCTAAAATCTTTTCTCAGTCTTGTTTACCGAGAAAGACTGCTAAACTTTTATGAATTTTCAGACGATGTAACAAAAGAATCAGTACAACCTAGCGCAACTCCTATACCCTTTGGAGAAATCGAAACGGATAACCGTGAAGAAATCTCAAACATATCAAAAGTTCGATCCCCCGATAGGCCACTTCCCGAACCTCCGCTACAGCCTGATGCAACGTTCTATACTAAACCGATAACTAAACCGATGAAGAAAGACTTTGAATTCCGCGACATCATCGAGGCCTTTGACAACGAGCTAGCCAACATTCGCAATTCTTCTTTTCGCAAATCTAGAGCAAAGGCAGACGGCAGGCCAGAATCACAATATACTACTAGCACAAGACCCAGAAGCAGGAAATCTGATTTCTTCTTTAGTTCTAGACGCTCCCTTAACAGGTTTGCGCCAATGAGGGAAGAATTTGCCGCGAGTTACGCCGAATTTAATCGACGAAATTCCATCATTACCGTACTAAATTCCTTGGTCAGAGAAGAATTGAAGCGCTTAGAGGCAAACGGAAATGACAAGAGTCAATTACGACCGTTCGAATATGTAATGTTGAAGCGTCGGCTTCAAGACAATGGATACAAGATGAAGTTTGCCGCCAGCGAAGAAGACTGGGAATATGACTTGATATGGGTTAGACAGATTTTTGAAGATTGGCAAGGATTTACCAAGTATACTTTGCCTTTGTCTGAAATGATACGAGCCAAACAAAAGGAAAACAGCTTGAGCGAGCTTGCCGAGTTGTTATCAGAGTCGTTTTTCTTTTCCAAGCCATTCAATGAACGAAGAGACGAGATTAGAGCACATTTTGAAGAGTTGCGACTGTTGTTGGAATTAGAAATTCGTACCATTGCGGCAAAGAGATATTATGGGCCAGGAAGCGAAATCACCGAAATAGTCGACAAATTTTGTCTGAGAAACGGGTCTTGCAAGCTGTGTGGTCAGCAGATGTTTTATGAAAACCATTGTCAGCTATGCGAATGGAGAAACTTAAAACTACACTATGGGTACGTTACAGTTCGCAGCAAAAAGTCGGATGATTTCACGAGAAATGCCCCGGTATCCATAGGGATGAAAACTCCATATGTTGGACGGATCAATTATGAACGATTGAAGGATTTTGAGGTTATCGGGTCGGGTGGTTTTGCGACTGTCCTTTCTGCTACTTGGTTGGATGGGTCTACTATGGTATGGAATAAAGATGAGAACATGTATCAAAGCACGGATACGTGCAGAGTGGTATTGAGACAATTACATAGCAAGACTGAATTGTCTTTTGAGGTTTTAAACGAGGTAACTTGGTAGAGTTTATTTCAACGTCGTTGTATGCATCTCGCCCTCTGAATATTCTTTTTTTTTCCCCAAAGATTATTGAGTACCTGAATCGTTACTGCCCTCAAATTGGCATCAATTATCTTGGAATATCACAAGACATTGTATCAAAAGACTTTGTTATAGTGACAGAATACGCCGACAATGGTAGCTTGCACAATTTCATTCAAAGTAGTTTTGCCGATCTCACATGGAAGATGCGTATTCGCATTCTACGCGATATAGCCAGAGATCTCGTATCTATTCATAGCCAAGGCATCGTCCATCGTGATATTCACAGTGGTAATGTATTAATCCACAATTCTGTGGATGGACTTATTGCCAAACTATCCGATATTGGCTTTACCGGTCCGATGACCGACTTGTTATCCAACGTGCATGGAGTGTTACCCTACTGTGCGCCCGAAATACTTCGTGGACGTATTCACACCACGGCAGTGGATATTTATTCGTTTGGAATGATAATGTGGGAACTGTCATCCGGAATGCGACCATTTGCAACCAGGGCTCACGATGAAGTACTAGCATTTGATCTTGGAAATCGACATCTAAGACCCGAAGTGGTCGAGGGAGCTCCCAAGTGTTATGTAAAGTTGATGCAACGATGTTGGCACCATGTTGCCAGCAAACGACCGTCAGCACAACAGCTATGCCATGTGCTTCAAAAGTGGATGCGCTATGAGGGCGATGAATCGCAGTATAAAATAGTTGTTCCCAAAGGAACTGAAAAACCCTTTTTACCAATGAATAGATTAACTATAACAAATTCAATAAACTGGAATCCTGACTTGGATACTATTATAGAATGGCAGCAGTTAGAAGATGCCGATAAGGAAGGTGTTAGAAAGAAAATAGAAAACCAACAAGAGGTGCCATCGGCTGTGTATATTAGTAGGAAGTTAGATTATATTTTACGAAGGCCAAAGTCAATTGCACGTATGCAACAGCGATTCTCTTTGTTTTTTGCACAATAAAAATGTAAATTATGTGGGGGTTCTTTTGCTGTGGTAGCATTGGTAGTGGGGGTAGTAACTGTAGTGAGTCTCGTTGGCGTTGTTGTCATTGTTGCTGTACAGTAGAAAGAGTGGCGGTCGTACTTGCTGTCGTCGGCGCCGCCTTTTATCGATTCCAGTCATGTAAAATGAAGACATGCAACTTAATTTCACTTTACACGACAATATTGAATTATTTATTGGGTGAATATACAATCCAAACTTGTCCATAAGACTTGATCCATGTACAATTATATAGCAAAAATTCTTCTGATAGTGTCCTAAAGCTACAATAAAATCACAATTCCAAATGCATGCTATAATTACTTCTACTTCTATTATTAGTGTTTAACTCAGCAGAAACTATCTCGGCGTTCATCAGCCGATACATTGGCTATAGTTCTACCACCCCCAATTATAATCATTTGAATCCATATGCGAGGGTAAAAAGGTCAATATGTCTTCTGGCTCTTCACTCGGGTATACGAATGCCTCTTCGTCAGAGTCACGATAGTCTTCTTCAATATCATCCTCCACCTCCCACTCATATCCATATGTTTCAAAGGCATCCATAAGTACATCCCATGCACTACTTTCGACATCGCTTTCGAAAAAACTCAGTTCTCCAAAGTCCGGCAAGTCATCGATGGTTATAGTGTCATCGAACGTAATACGACGCCGCTCTCTTTTTGGAGGCCCCATTATGTACCGAGTCCCATCCGCATTAGCATGTTGGTATAGACATAGGTCTCCAAATGGACAGGTTTTTGTCCCTTCAAAGTACTTGCATGGAATCTTGGCAACTGCAGCTTTGTATGAATCTATTATACTGTCCTTGTCTTGGGCATCTCTTGGTACGCGAGAGGATGGAACGACGTATGGAACCTTCTTTCGGCACAAAGGACATGTCTTTGTCTGGTCTGAGCTGATGGACGACTGTCTCCTCGACTTTCGCCAGCTTCGAACGCAGTCTGTGAATAAAAATATAAAGGATACTCGTATTAAATATTTCAATAATATTGTCAACAAGCAACCTCATATCACGTACTCCAATTGTGTCTTTTTCCGAGATAATGGAAACATATTAATACTTCTTTTTGTAAATCTCTTTCTATGATGGAAATTGTTGGTTCTTACCTATACAGAAAACGTGATCGCATGAGACTAATAACCCAAAAGTCGTAGGAATTTCATAGCATATCGAACACGTAGGTGTATCATCTACATCAGTAATAGCTTCCTTATTACCCGACTTGTCGGGAATTTCATGCAGGAACCAACACCCACTGCCAAACCGACAATAGCCCTGCTGATAGAACCTACAAGGGATGGCAGATGGCAGCGTATTGTCCCTTTCCTGTACATTAGAACACGCACTTTCGTCGACTGCTTCACGGTTCATTGGTTTCTGCACACATTTGGACCCCGAGCCTTCGGCATTAGTCGTCGGAATCCGATCATTCTGTATGCCTGCCCTACGCTCTGGCTGAATGTGTGCAGAGTTGGAGCTGGAACTTGCATTAGCACTAGCACTCGAACTGGAACTAGTGCTGGCATTGGCTCCCGAGCTGGGATTAGCGCTTGAGTTTCTTCTTTCCTTTCTTTCAGATGTTGTATTAAACCATCGGGTGTTCGACGTCTTGTTATTATCGTTTGCGGCGTTTGTGTCTTCGTGTGGTGCGCCCGGTTGAACATGTCTATAACAACATCGATTACCACGGGGACAGCCGCCTTTTGCATATTGCCGACAAATTGAACGTGAAGACGAAGACATATCTGCTAGATAGTTTATGTACCCCCAGCTATTTGTAACGCGCTATATTCTTCCCGAACGAGGAAGAGTGAAATTTCTGGCCTTAAAACTTTATTACAAGATAAAAATCACAAGTGCAAACAAATCAGGACTCGCATATAGTTACTGCGGCTCTGGTATGATGTTATTTATGGAATTACGCAATCCCTGCGTTTGAAAAATCGGCTGTGGGACAACACCAACTGTCGGTATATTCCAAAATGATCTTACTCGAATATCACAATGCGGTCGTGGAAAAGACTTTAGCACCAATAGTGAGGTAATCTCGTAAGAGTTATTGTTATCTGTCGTGAATTTTATCTGAATGAACATTTCTTCCTAATTGGCATGATGTGTAATTAACATAGTCTTAAAGAAACCGTACTAGACTCTACCGTTGTAGACTTTGATGGAGTAGTCTATCACATATCAACCCGCACGTCCAAAGACGTTATATGGTTTTCATTGTCGTGGTCGTGTTATAATGAGCTGACTAAGTGGGGAGCAACAGATATGCTTCGGAAGGAATATGGACAGTATCTCATTTCCTCACCAGAACAGGGTTATAATCTAACACTCGAATTCGATTTAAAAAATTTACCATCTACGGAAGGTATAATAGACTGCATTGCACATTTCAATATCCACAACACGTAACAACGTCTTCAGATATCTAATGCACTAATTTAATACTTGTAGAAGAACGAGAGGCACTCGTAAAGAAGATGGCTCTAATTAAACGAAACCTTCTCGCACAACCGTTTGAGCATGCCTTCGATCAGCAAGCTCAGTTCGAGGATAACGACCAACCAAACCCCCAGCCGGACCTTATGCAGATCCACTACAGAGATCAAGAAGCAATTTACATCCAAGCGCAACATGATAGAGTTACCGTCATTTTTTCGACACTCTTCAAAGAAGAGACTGATAGGATCGTTGGGAAGGTGTTTTTGCAGGTAAATACGATAATTGACAAGAGTTGACTGTATAGTGTTCTTACGTTGCACACTTAGACTTATTTTAATTTATTAAATTGCATTAAGGAATTTGTTGATGCACGTCGTCTTCCAAATATTCAGAATGCGCCACAAGTGCTCTATTCCCACAAAGAACCTCCTCTGGAGATCAGACATCTGCCTGAATTTCGACATCTTAAAGAAAGCGAAAATGTCGGATTCGTTACATTCGGTATGTTAGTTCTGCGTACCTATATATACATTCCGACTTAATATTCAAATAAGTTTTTTTATGCTGTAGTTTTATTCCCTCGCCACTTTGTAAGAGGCGACGTGAGAGATGCGACTATATCACAGATTCAATTGTTCCGCGATTATCTGCATTATCATATCAAATGCTCCAAGGCTTATATGCACTCAAGAATGCGAGCACGTGTACAAGCTTTTCTCAAAGTTCTGAACCGAGCCAAACCCGATCCTGTTGTAGTCGAGAAGAAGACAATCTCGTAAGTTGATGGCATGCATGCGTGTACTTGTCATTTGGGCTAGTCATCCATCTCTAACCGAATGTCTTGCTTTCTTATTAGGGGAAGGAATGTTATCAAGTCATAAAGCTGTGAAAGGTTTATGACGCATTCATAGATAACGAATGCACGATCTAAATAATTTATTATTAATAAAAAAAATATCTCTCACGATCGAATGTTTATACTTAATAAGCATGGTACTGATAATAAGTAATCTATCGCAAGAAATTTCGGTTTGAACAAATAACGTCTTAATGCGACAGCTTCCCCTCCAAAACATCCTATCACGGGATACATCATTGTAATAAATCGTAGGTAACTATCAATCAAAAAAAAAAACATGAAATACGCGTTTCTTTTTCGTATTACACAGATTTTAATATTGAGTAAATCGCATTGCTTTTGGAAAATGCTGTATAACTGTGTTAGTTCAGCTTTTCTTTTAAGAAGCATAAATATCATTAGACATTAACAATTAAACTCTAAAATATAACTTGGCTGGCTGGGTAGTGGTGACTAATGCAGTGAGTGGTCACATGTTTCGCTTCTGTATTACCCCTGCCATAAAAGACGCGTAGTTAATGCCAACGAAATGATGATAAGTATTTCTCCATTCTCATTTCTTGAATTCGTTTGAATAGAAAGACTGCTATACCGCAAATTTAATATCACGACGAGCGCTATTATCTTGCTGTGGGTCGGTCAGCTCGGAATAAGCACGTATCTATTTTTGATATCATCACATATACATGCATGTTGATCGCTTATTAATGTGACGGTAGACAATGGGGCCTATTTCGAATTGGGTCAAGTGAAGGGCGTGAAACCCTCCTGTGTCTGAACGTTAGATAGCCAATAAATTAAAAATGTGTTCACAATACATCAGTTTGTTCATTGTTGAAGTGTTGCTAATATAACTTAGTTTTACAGCCTAATCCTAAAAAAGCATCTGTTGTGCCACATGGTACAATAGGGCGTGCACATTACAGCTTCTTAATATTAGCATTCTGCCTTATTACTAAAGGAAAAGCATGTCGATTTCTGCAACGTACTCCAAAAATGAGGTCGTGGATAAAGAATTCCAATACTCCCCAGAAGCTGAGGATGGCGAAAAGAAAATGTTGGGAACTCTGAAAAATAATTTACGGTCGTTGCAAAACGATATCAATGCACATCTTACATCATTACTCAAGGCTGCCGGTGCCGAGGATGTCGTGGCTGACGAAGCAGAAGAGGAAGAAGCAGAAGAGGAAGAAGAGGAAGAGGAAGAAGAGGAAAGAGACGAATATGTGCTTGAAACCAAGTGATATGTTGTTTCCATGGAGATCAATGTTGATGTCATTCTCATGGTGAGTGTGCGTGTTGTGTTAGGGATTTGAGTAGAAAAGGACTGGGAAGGTTTAGGGAGGAGGCCTATTAAATGGGAATATATTCTAAAATTTATACAACAACTCATCTAGGACCAGAAACCAACTTTAATCGTCTTGTTCAAAGATCATAACAAATAAACCATCGAATCACAAATACACATTTCCTGAACTACACAGAAATATAGTTTCTCCCTTTTCCTGCTGTCCTCTCAAACGACGATCTTGAACCGACATATGCATTGCGCATCGTATAAGAGCATTGCATTGCAACACATTGTTGACTTATCCGATAATGATTTATCTAGGAAGAAAATGTAAAATCTGGTGTTTGTCGGATATAGATAGGGTAACAACGTTATGCTATATATAGAATACCATATTACAGTATTACGTTGATGTAAAACTTCGAGAAGAATCTAGTAAAGAAAAAGCTATGATTTGATTCAGTTAAGGTATAAAAAATACAGTGATTGTTCATTGCAAAGATCAATTAAGTATTATTAATTCATTTGTTGTTAACAATTCAGATGCCATGCACAAAGACTCAGTTTATTCTATACATTATTGAACATTAGAAGAAGCATATAAGCATACGTGACTCTACGTATAATAGTTCAAAGTATGTATAAAATATTTAGTACGTAACAACTTGATCTTAAGGCACGCAGTTTAACCCTTTTTGCCTGTCGGTTATTTTCTGCCCTTCACTGCGACAATGGGCCCCACAGCATCGATGCTACCGACTTAGTTACTACATTCCTAAAATGTAACTATACTTATTGCTGGACAAGTGATTGCGAATAACCTTTATGTTCGCTTGATTCGTGTTTCCCAGTACACAGTACGCGGGATTACATACGGAACATGATATATCTAATAGGAGTGTCCTTGTCATAGAGTCATTGGGTCGTCCGTGATCCAGATCTAATATCTGTAGTATGTTACATGCAACGTCGCCCCAAAAAATAAAAAAGAGTGTGATTAGAATTACTATGCTACTTGTAATACGTGCGCCGCACGATTTCACAGTCAAATGTTTATAATGGCGTTAATTCTGTAATTAGTAGGTTTGTTAGCGCTCGGCGGAGTTTACTTTCCGAGATGCACTATTTGGTAATGTGGTACAAAAGCAAGAGTGCTTAACAAATCTTGTTACCTTTAAGCTTTTTCGCAAAAATGTCGAGATGTCCAGCAATTGACGACTTGATTCAATCATTTCGCGAGGAATATTACAGTCTTCAATGGATTCATTTTTCAGTATTTTGTGACATAGACTTGAGTAAAGTCGCTGCCAGCAAAATCATCTACTGCACAGGAGAATGGAATCAAAAGATGATTCTGTTATTACTTGGAAACGAAAAAAAGTGTACACCAGAATTTATAAGTGAGTTTTCCAGACAGTACTCACTCTCAACGCTCATACATAGGGACGATATTTCACCTAGTCAGTTCAAAAGATATGCAGCATGGCTTGAGGAACGCAATGCACTGATAGAAGGATTTACCAGGTACCAAGGCAATTGTTACATGGTTGCTGACAGACAGTTTCAATATTATTATTCTCGATATGGATTCTGCTCTGCATGCGGAATACTCAGATGTAGTCCGATGTGGTGCATTTGTGGACATAAAGAATTATCTAATGGGTGGACCAGTAACAATAAGAAACTCGACGAGTTTATCAAAAAGTCACAAATACAAACAAAATCAGCAGATGAACCCTATTTGGAATGGATCCCATTTGATTGCCTTGTGTTTGACGGAAATCAGGTATCGATAAAGGGTCTACCTACTCCTGATGCAACTGTTGAACTGATTTCACTCGAGATAACAGATGAAACGGACGATTCATATTATGACAAGGTGAACTATAATATAACGTGCTTATTATTATTATTGGTTTTTCTGTCTATTATCGACTCAATTCCCTAATTCCTTAGTTGTGTGATAACCACCCGGATATTTCTATGACAAACGTCTGGATTGCTATTGGATTTACATACGATGCACAAGAAAAAGAATATTATCTAATAAAAGAAATGCACAAGCTTGGAGTATGTCTAGGATGTACAGAACAATTTGAATATAATAGACCTACATTCTGTTTTTGGTGTAAGACATCAAGATTTATTGATTGGACTACTGGCCATAATTCTCTGGATTCGTTTATAATGAAATCATGGAGCAATACGAAGCATAAAGCTGATGCCTATCTACAATGGATTGAGTATTCGCAATTGAAAAACATACGAGAGACGACCTTGTTACAATATGCGTGCACGGCGGATTGGTTAGAACTCCCAACAAGTACACTGGTAAGCGTATTATTAAAGACGATAGTTGATGGACAGAACAGTCAATCGTTTGATTTTTATCAGGTAAAGCATCTCTATTAAAAATAATATACGTGTTCACGTGTTTTAGAACGATGGTTTGATTGTCGTAACGAATGTCGTTTATTCAAAAACAGCTGACCAAGCATTATCCGGAGATATTAACACCAGATAATATCTGGATTATCGGAATCACTCAAATACCATCTACCCGAGATTATTGTCTGGTGTTCTACAGTGAGATACGCGAAGTTCTGGATAGATTTATGCGGTTTTATGATGACATTAAGTTTATGCAATATACCGACTTTGATAAAATTGAAGAGATCGGATCTGGTAGTTGTGATACAGTTTATACTGCAAGATACAACAATAGCGAAGGCCGAATTAACGATGGAGAACGTGTTGTTCTTAAACGTTTCAAGAATTTTGATCACATGCCGGAATTATTTATTTCCGAAGTAAGTAATTTCTTGATACAATTAACCTAACTTTGTAAAAGTCATATTAATCTTGTTTATTTCTCATTCAACAGTTCAGAAATCATGCCAAGTGTAATACACGCTTTATCTTTCTTGAAGTTTATGGAATTACACAACTCCCAGGCACAAAAGAATACATGATCGTAATGCAATATGCTGATAATGGTGCTCTTTTGTCTTATTTGAATCGCAATATTAATGAGATGACATGGAGGATGAAAATACAGTGTATGAGGAATATTATAAATTGCCTGATTGCCATCCATAGCATTGGATTGGTGCATTGCGATCTTCATGATGGAAACATAGTTTTTAATTCCAGTAGAGATGGTTCAAGTAAAGCATCCATATGTGGCTTTGGTTGCTCACACTCACGGATGTCAGAGTATAAATCAACCGTTCAAAGTGTCACACCTTTTATTGCACCAGAAGTCTTTCATTCTCGCAAATTTACGCCAAAATCAGATGTATATGCATTTGGTATTATTATGTATTTGGTTGCCAGTGGTGAACCGTCTTTCGGGAACAGATTACTTGATAGCGATTTAGTACGCGATATTATGGGTGGACTGCGACCTGCCATGCCTGATTCAGCACCAGAGGCATACAAGAAACTCGCTGAGCGTTGTTGTGATGCCGATCCTAACAAGCGTCCAGCGAGCTGGGAACTTTGGCTTCACTTGAATAAAATAGACAAGGATGAGTCTGATATATGGAATTCCATATATCATACTGGTGTAAAACCTCTATCACGTCTCGAAGGAGAGTAAATACTCTAGTAAGGTCTTACATTTGTAAGGGCTTGGTTGTCATACACAAAGTTTATTTATAGGTTTTAAAGTTTAGAAGAAAATGTAAGCATATACTGTATTCCCCCCCCTTTTTTTTTAACAATTACTCACTGCGCGTCTCTTTGAATAACAGTCGTTCAAAGTATGTATAAAATTTATTGATATATTAGTACTTGAAACAGTTGAATTGTAATAATAATAATCTTATGTAGTTTAATTTCTTTTGTTTTCCTCACCTGACACCAGGGTCGATACCACTGACTGGTCAACTTTATTACCATTATATTTCTAAAAATGGATATAGTTAATATTTCGGATAAATAAATATATATACGAATGGGTTCTAACTAGTGTGTGGCGATTCGGCCTTTAGTATTAGTATATTTATTTTAGGAATTTTGTTTAGAGTACATTTTTATCTAACTTTATTAATGTTGATATTGTTATTAGCATCAAATTAGTCTTACTGAAAGTTTATTTAAATGGTTCTCACTATGTAAGAATAAAATTATATACTCAATACGTAATGTTTTTGTCGATGTGTCAGTTAGTGTTTTTCTTGTTCCCCTTCTTATAATAATATACCTTCTTCTTTATCAACCGTTACTCCCCCTTCAGGTTCATTGTTTTTGATTGTTGGGGTGCCTCTCTCTTTTGACTAAACAAAAAAAATATGACAATAGCGTAATTACGTACTTGATATTTGAAAGACTATTCTGGGAAAGTGCGTGATGAGTGAATGTGCTATAGTTTTACCTTATATTCCAAATTACAGCCTGAACGCTTGTTTGTCTCGGCAGGAAAAATGTACAACGTCTGGCAGTGTAGAGGCGCTTGGTAGCGAAAATTTGCTTATAAAATATAGAAACGTAGTTAGTGATATACACAATTTGATGGGAAATTGTCCGCGACGTTTGTGCATTAACTGAAAAGTAATAACAACATGAGTTTATTTATTGGCTGAATCACTTTGTAACAATGTTTATACTGCCGTTAAAGTATACCGGGTGGAAGTATTACGAGCAACAAAGCGGGACGCATGGATTGGGGATAATTTTCTATCACGCAGAATGTTTTGTAGTTCGTACGAAAGAACGAATAAATAAGAATTAGGTAGCATTGCGGACAAAAATAAGAATGTGGAGCGATTGTTTTAATAGATAACAATTTCGTTGGTTTGGAGAGAATCATAGTAAATATATCGATGACTTGAGACATTTTAGTTTAGTTATTGATATTTTGTAAACAATAATTGACTATTACGCATCTTAAATAAATAAAACATAAACAAACTTATATAATTTCTCATTACTTATTGGAATGAAAGTATCAGTTCTGCGTCCGTAATAGCGAGGGCCACAGTTTCAACCGTGCGATATAATGTTAGAGGATTTAGAGAAATTTTTGACACGGGAAATGGAATTCTATTTCAGAGTCCGTCTAGTAAATCACACGTCGTTGCGACGTCGACGCCGTTTGGTGACGATTAATATATAAACTTTATTTAGTATCTTTGTGCGATATATGTGTATAATATGATAAATTTATCATACTGTATATTTATATTTCATAGCAGTTATATCTATTATTATTATGGCATACCGCTTTATTTAGCATGACAGGAATAATGTATTAGACTATAAAAAAGCATGGGCGGGTAGTATACTGTATGTATATAAGATTCGCCGCAAAGATTTTACGGTAAACGGAAAAAAAAAGGTTAGTAATTTGCTTAAGTGAAAGCATGGAAATGTCTGTAAAGAGTGATTGTGAGTGCAACACAATGAAGTGTTGAAATGTTCTCATTTAAACTATGTCATCAGTAATTGAGAACTTGATTAAAAGCTATAGACTTGAGTGGATTCCTTGCATAGCCTTGAAGTAGCGAAGAATGCACACCAACACTTGTGAGTGAATTTGCTAGAATATACTCACTTCCGACACACAAGCACAAGAATGATGTCAGTCAATGTACCAGATGGCTTGGGTGTCGCAACAGCATGATAAAAGGGTTTACCAAGTATGATGATAACAACTAGTACGTGGTTGCTGATAGGAAGTTTCACCATTGTTATTCTCAATATGGATTCTGTGGAATACTCCCGTGTGGAATTGTCTAATGGAACAATAAGCAATTCGATGAGTTTATTAAGAAATCTTAATTCTGCAAATCATGCCTATTTGGAATGTTGTATTGCTGATAGGGGAAATGGATATGACGCTTATATGGACACGTGCATCTGTTAAATTGAGACACATGATTTATTATTTATTTATATTTAAATAGTTCAGAAATCATGCCAAGTGCGCAAATAAGTATTTCCTTGAAATTTATGGAGTCACACAAGACTTAGAAACAAAAGAGTACATGATTGTTATGCAATATGCTAACCATGGTAGTCTTTTGTCTTATTTGGATCAAAATATTAACAAATTAACATGGAGAATAAAATTACAGTATTTGAAGGATATTTCATGTAATCTAAAAACTATTCATGTTACTGGATTAGTGCATTGTGATCTTCATGGCGGAAACATGGTTTTGCGTGATAATGATGATGGGTCTAAGACAAAAACATTTGTATGCGATCTTGGTCTGTCACGACCAATGAATTCACACAATAATGAGTCGATTTCAGCTATTCGAGGAGTTTTACCTTTTATTGCACCGGAAGTCTTCTCTACTTGTAAATTTACTCAAAAATCAGATGTGTATTCTTTTGGAGTTATTATGTATTTAATGGCCAGTGGTGAACAACCTTTTAGAGATAGGCAGTTTGATAGATATTTAATGTGTGATATTTTGAATGGACTACGACCACCAATGCCGGATTCAGCACCAAAGGAATACAAGAAACTTGCCGAGCAGTGTTGTAACGATGATCCTGATAAGCATCCAGACGCACGCACAATTCGGAAGGATATTAACAAGCTTCTTGATGAGACGTGCAGGGTTAACAACGTGTGGAATACCATCTATCGCAGTGATGTAAACCCTTATCACGTCTCGAGAAAGAGAGTAAATACTCTAGTAAGCTCTTACCTACTAGATATGATTTGGATTCAGCCGCAGGTATGAAAACAATAACTTGTTTTACATGTTGGTGTAAATGAAATTAATTTATGATATTAACATTGTCAATTATTATAATTTAGAGACTCAAAAAGTTTTTGAATAAACTTGCAATTCAACAGTTGCCAAGTTATTTACTAGTTTATTTTTCTGTATTATTTATCCATGTATTGGCTCGCGGCGTTGACTTGCGGAGTTAGCCTGTGACGTTAGCCAGCAGAGATAGCTGGAAAAAAAATAGTCTTTATTGACCAAGTGACGACGAGTTTGCGATTGTGTCGTCATTCAAGTACGATGAGATCGAGTTTGCATCGTCAGCCAGGGAAGCTAGCCAACAATTAAATAAAAAATCTTTATTAAAATTCACAGTTTGAAATATCAACTTAGTAGACATGACCAATATTCAAGATATTATAAAGGGATGGGTAAAAGGCAAATACGCCTGAAACAGGTTAACTGAATATGTTAACAAGTATATCAAACGTCTAAAGCTTGGTTACGATTCGCAAAATATCATCCACCCATATTAATATATATACGTAGACGTCTGGATATGATATTACTAATAAGTATTATTGGCAAAATTGTGTATTCCGTATTAAAAACAATCTAACCAGAAACGAATATTTAGATTACAACTCTAAATTTGAGGAATTTAAAATCCAAGTATGCATATTTTATTGTAACTTTGTATGAAAAAAATCGAGCAGCAACTATTATCCAGCGAACATACCGTCTATGGAAAAAGCGTATACGTTCAGCTAAAAAAATTTAGAATGTGGTAATTGAATGGTTTTGTCGACCAGGTGACACATTTATGAAACATGCTCAAGTTCGGTATTATTGTAATGCGAATAAACTTGGCACCAAGAGATTTTGCAAGGATTGAAGATATATACAAGGCGCAGAGCGCTCTGTGAAGCAGATATCGAAAAATTTTCGTTACTCTACAAACCGCAATTGTTAACAGTGAGAGTTTTATAAGTTTTGCGAGAATAATTATTATTATACCAACAACTGGTAGGAATTGATTTTCCCTACAACATATAGTAAATGTGTTTAAATTAAAAATTGCTCAGCGATGCTTCTCAGTACTATCAAATAATTTATATATCTTGTTCATAATTATAGACCGATTAAGAACATATTGCCATTCTCTTTTCCCAACCACTATTCCGATTTCTGGGCGACGTAAGTCGCTTTGCGAAACAAATAAATTTTTTCCGAGAATAATATTATGTAACGGTTTTTTATTATTAGTTTTACACCAAGTGAGACACTCGTGATACAACTTTGCGCAATTAGATTCTCAGACCATAGTGAAATGTATCCAATTATAAATTGAGGGCACGTGAGTGCCTTTGCTCCGCAAATAAACTGGAGATAATTGATGATCGATTTCATTTATTTCTTCATCAGCTGTGTAGTATCCTCGCAGAGCGAGTCTCACACTGCTCTTGACGTCTCATCTTAATCCTCCGGTTATATTATTTTATGCCTTCAATTAATAACGCTTCGCGTGTCAAAATATGTGACATGTTTGTCACCGTGAAAAATTCTGTCTTTATGAAAAAATTTTCATAGTGACGTTAGCGGTGACACTTTTTCTATGAATTTTGGACGCTTTAAGCCGGTTTGTTTTTTTCTTGATTATTATTTTACATTTGTCACTATTGTCACTATGAAAATAAAACGTCTAGAAAAAAAAACAAAACTTTTTTCACTGACATACATATCAATATGTACAATAAATAAAAAAAAAAAGTAAAAAAGTTTGATTTTTCAGAGAGGCCTTAGCGTTCTAAAATATAAAAAAACTAGTTAACTTTATCACTAAATTTTTTTGTCACCATGAAATAACACTATGTATTTTCTTTGATTCCATTTTGCGTCATCTTTAGTTTTTTTCGTTGATAATAATCTTTAAACCGATACTTGCCGGAATGATCTCTACATGCACGAAACATAGAGAATGTCAACCTACCACATTCTTTACAAGGTACACGCATAGGAGCTTTCCAATGAATTTTACACCCTTCAGGCCAATAACAGCCTTTATTGCAAATTTTGCCAGTCCAGAGTCCGCAGAATATAAGGACAACAATAGAATCCCATATTAGCATTAATTTTTTAGCGCAGGCGCTCTGTATTTAACAGAGATGTTTCTAATAAATAATCAATCAATTAATCGTTTTTTTATTTGAACTTTTCCATAACCGATAATATACTTTTGAAAAATCGTGAGTGCGATACCCAAAACACAAACAAAACGCAAAATATTGTGCTTCTGAGCTCGAAAATAATAGCGATAACGCCTTATACCCAAAAAATGTAAAGACAAGCAAATCGTTACGATATTCCAGTGAAGACTATTTACCAGGTATTCCTACTCGTAATAGTATAGTTGCAGAAAACGACGAGGGGTTAACTATGATTCTTGAAAACGCTCTATCACTATTCAATCGCCAGTACATACATTTATGCCTGTTGATATAGAGGAATCGAACGAGTATATTAATCAAACCCCTCATTACGTTTTACGACTTTATGGCCCACTCATAAATGGTCAGAAAGCGGTTGTGACAATTACTGGTATTAGTGATATACTACGAACTGTGATTATTACTGCGCAATTGTTCTCCCGCTACTGTTAAGATCACCAGCCAATCACGTTTCTGGCTGTACTGAGATGATGGCATATAGGAGATTGTGGCTGATAATTTCTTGATCTACACCATAATTTTAACATGTCCTTTCCATCAGTCCCTTTGGTCGAAGAAGTGAGCAAATGGAAGCGAGCTCAAGTTCTTACGTACTTGCAGTCCAAAAAAGACGAACTGGACCTTGATGATAAGCACATCAAAGTCATTGGAGACCAAGAAATCGCTGGTCGCGCTTTTCTCGAACTGACTACGGAAAAACTTATGGAAGATGGTTTGAAAAGAGGGCCAGCTGAAACCATTGCGAAACTAATCAAAGAAATCAAAAGCCAACCAGAAGGTAAATACCACGACTGCGTTCACTTATACCAACATATATACTGCTTTCTTACCGCACTATTCTTATTTGACGTACGAGCGTTCACCTACCATTTTATTATTATTATTATTATTTTCTATATCTCACTTGCCGCCATCGTCTTCTGCAGGTACGTCTTTATAATCTACACGTTCTCTTGCTGCAATTTTCATTACCATGATATAGAGAGAAGTTTAACTTTTGTTGCATTTCATTATCGGTTATTCCACAAGGTGGATACAACGAAAGCCTACAGCACATGCTAGGTATTTATTTAGATTCTTATTTTTTGCTTCAAAGTTTTTACACATTTTTGCGAGCCTTGCTGTGTACTTTGTACAATACCAACAATAAATGCTTCGCTCCAATCTATATTTGTCATCCAGTTTCTGTGAACCGTCGTTAATTACTTTTTTTTTGTTATGCCCTTTGAATAGACGAGTGGGAAGGCCAACTCAACCAAGCCAGCCAAGATGAAAATATGTATAGCAAT